AGTGCACTGCCGCCCAGCCTGAGGCCGCGGACCCAGCCCCTGTGTGCACTGCCGCCCAGCCTGAGGCTGCAGACCCAGCCCCTGCATGCACTGCTGCTCAGCGTGAGGCTGCAGACCCAGCCCCTGCATGCACTGCTGCTCAGCGTGAGGCTGCAGACTGCTCTGAAGGTGCAGGTGCCCCCTGTGCCTATTCAGCAAGTCCCTACTGCAGACTGGAGCACTCAGCCTGCCAGGGAAGCCTGTTCTCAACTCCCAGTGCTCAGGCCCCTGAACGAGGAGGATCAACCACTGAGCGGTCTCAAGCTGTTCTTCCACAGGCCACCAGCAAGGTGGAAATAAGGCTGATGGAAAATAAACATCAGTTTCTATTTAAAACAGTGATATTCAGGTCTGTTTGCAACGTGATTATTTCATGAAATTTAACAGAATTACCACATGGCGCTGCTTTGAGATGTGAAGCTGTTTTCTTTATTTTGGGACATAAAAAATGCTTTCCCGTTAACATTTCCAGCTAGTTTGAAAATTATAAATGTTCTCCCTTCTTTCCACCAAAGTGATGAAAGAATGAGTGAGTATACATTGGGCTTACTCAGCATTTATTGGTGGTAGTTAAGGCGTTTTGAGTAGATACAGAGGTGAATCCTAGTGATATAAAAGCCGTGACACAGGGTCGGGTGCGATACATTCTGTGAGGGTCGCACAAAAAAAAAAAAAAAAACCTTGTAGAATAATCAAGGAGTGATTTGTTGTGATTACAGGAGGGGATTGGTCTTTTACACTGGAGGTAAAATTTGAGCAGAAACATGAAGGAATGAGCAAGGCTCTTGTGGGAGAGAACTCTGGGTGGGCCATTTCAGGCCAAGCAAAGGCGGGGGATGAATACAAGATGGGGCCTGTTTGGGGACTGTGACTGGGCTGAGCTTAGGGGATAAGAAACTGGGAACCGCAGCATAGTGTCAAGAACGGGGATTAGGAATCGAGAGGCCTGTGAGGAGTATTCTTCTGGACATGTTGTTTAACTTTTCTGAACTTTAGTGTCCTTGGCTTACAATGAGATGATTATCTTGTCCAAGGGATTATCACGAGGATAAAATCATAGAAATACCTGAGAGCTCCTCCCACAGGGGCCAGCACATACTGAGCGCTTCATACATTTTTCTTGAATTGCATTTTTATTGAAGATGTGATCGCAGGTGAGGCTGGAAAGGACGCGCTTGTTCACGCGAGGCCTGTCGTGGTGCCAAGGAGGTTGTTTCCGCTGCCTGCCTTGTGTGGGGGGGCAGGGAACACGGGTAAGGCGGGATTCCTAGTCCTGAGCTACACAGAATCTGTGGTATAGCTGGAGGGAGTCAAACCATGCCAAACAACACACACCATAGCACATCACACCACACCACTCACACACACCACACCACATACACACACCACACACCACATACACACACCACACCACTCACACACACCACACCAC